CCACTGCTTTTGTCTCCTCTTAGTTCTATTCTTAGAAATATGCTTTTCTTTTTACCGATAGTACCTACCTACACTTTGTTACAAAGTCTACAGACATCTTGTACGAATTTGCTTGAATCACTAACTTACAGCAACATCGTTTTCAGTTTCAACATTTCTTCTTTTACTCAGCTTTCGGAAGATATAAATTGTATTCGATGACTAAAACACCGAACAAGATTGTTTTTGTACTCTACATAGGCGAAGCTATGAGAACAAACGTATTGTCCACTGATTCTAGTTTTACTGACCATAGTGAACTTCATAGAGTTGTTTTTCTTTTCGATGAAAAACATCTACACATATGCTATTCTATAGTTTATATTCATACGTAAATTAAGTGGTGGGATGGACATTATTGAAGACTTTCAGAAGTTCCTGTTTACCAGTTTCCTTATCACAAGCGACAAATTTATCATCTACGCAAAGATAAAACCATTAGATTCTAGTAAGTTCACCTCATAATGCACATTTTAGTAAGAAAATGTCAGTTGGAGCTCATCCCAATTCCATATACCTGTCAGTAAAATTGATTATCAAACACAGAGTAGACGTTAATCGGATATCTAAACAACAACCCTTCCAATGTTTCGCTTCCCGTTCCACTAGCTCCTCATACATATAACTAATCGCTTCCATAAACGGGATTGTACTTTATTACTGATACGAAACCTGGAGATAGCATGGCTGAATTCATTAGATTATTGTATTTGTTTTAGACAAATATGATTACATCCTTGAAACTAAATTTGACTATTTCGCATTGTAAAGGTTCAACTAGTTGTACAAGTCAGTTCGCTGTCAAATGACATTGTGAATTTAGCATGTCAACAGTTGGACGCAAGGATGACATTGCTTATCAACCCCTTGGTAGGCTGCACATCTTAAGCGTATGCATTCCGTAAGGTTTGATTACTTCGAACTTAAATGCTGGAATGAGCTCCCATTTCTCAGTGACTGATGAGTCACAATCAGCTGGCATTTAGTAACTTCATTCAAGTCTTCATAACTTATTTCTGAAACCTGGTTTTGACAGTACAGACGAGAGTTCTTGTTTTTGACATAATCACATTTATTCACAATTACCAAAGTTGATTCTTTGTTATGTCTAAATTAGACTAATACTGCCTTGTGGGTTAAGGAACCTCACTGGATAGTTTATCATTTCACTGAACAAATTACAAAACCACCCCTAATTTCCCTGCTATATGTAACACACAAACAGTCCTAACAGTTATGTGGTAGGTTTCATTTTACAGTGATTACGAGACCATGTGAACGGTAAATTCCTGAAGACAAGTAACGGTTTTTATAGATATTGAGTACTTTAGTATCGTTATCCTCACCACTATCCACTCAGTCCGCAACTAAAAGAGTTTATCAGATAAATGGTGTACTATCAAACGAGCTGTTGCATTAGGCATAAAAATCCCAAAAAGAAAAACAGTGTTGGTTATACTGATAACTACCGCAACGCTACGATTGTTACTTGTTTACGTTGGTTGAACACTAAACATAAAAGTTGAATAATTTGGAGCCCAGATCCATTTTGCAGTTGGAAAGTAGTATTAATGAGCTACGGAATACATAAGTACTAGACACCTTAGCCCACCACCTTTAACTTCTTACTTCTTACCTGCTTAGCATATGTTGACTTTCAGTGAAATATTTCAGAAGTACTGTTATGTGGATGTATTCAAATGGCTAAAGTCACAAACAGTAAATACTTATATTATCTCTGCTTGGTTCACCAATATGCAAAATGTTCGTAAAGTTAGTAGCTCAGCTGGAAAATCTTTGGGAGTTTCATCGTATGAGCTTGGAAGCTTAGTTCCAAAGTCTTGACTAGAAATGTAAACAATTTTAGGAAGATTTTGGCATTTCTCTACCAACAATGTCATTTTCTGTCCAGTATAACTGATTGGGTCTAGTAACTTTTTACAACTTTGTTGATCTGCGACTGCATTGCTGTGATGCTACTTTGAAAGACTGACTTATTTCACACATATTGGCGACTGATGTCGGTATTTGTATAAATTAAAAATGAATCTCCCTGCAGGAATTTCGAAGTTTTTGGTAAACTAAGAATGACAATCGAAGGAGTATCTCTGTAGGTCTGGATCTCATGTTATTGAAGATCGACAAACATTTCCAACAGATCCCATATCAGCCAATAAATAGATGACTACACAGTCAAATAGTCATGGAACAAGTTTGCGAAAGAGTTGATAAGATAATAAATTTATACTATGCTGACAAATAAACCACAACCAGGATCAATTGGTCAGATATCATAAAATAAATTTGAAAACCCCTCTTTCTGTTTGGCATACCGACGAAACTTTGTGATTAGACAACCTATGTCACAAAAACCAACGTCTCGGTGTGGATGAGGTTAACATTGAACGATTGTCAACGTGTAATAACTTACCTCAAAAAGTCACATGCTGTCATTCAAAACCGCAGACATGAACAATGAAGAAATCCACTAACCTAACACGTATCCTTCTAAAAATCACAAACTGACTGGAACACAAACGAATACCCAATGGAATATTCTCCTAGGAGCTAGATGAAGAGTCAAATATCCTGTTTAACTTATCTAAGTAGTATGTAAACCTTAAAAAATTCCTATGGTGACAGAGAAGTTACATATAGTGATCGAGTATACGTTTTTATAAAAAATACAAATTACGAATATCAAAACACTGTTCAATACAGTATATAGATGAGAGGATTACAACTGAGACAGTCAGTGTATAGCACTAGTTCGTTCATGAGCAGCTACTGCAATATAAACTAGTATTAAATTTGATTATGCCAGGTTGCGTAGCAAATATATCCAGTGGGTAAGGATTCGTCAATCAACCTTTCCACCTATCTGTACTGGTCGTCATGGGTGACTACTGCGCCATAAAGTGATTATCAGTCAAGATATACATAACAATAGCAGGGTTCTTCTCAAAACCGACTCTGTTGATAGGATTTATCAATCTATACGGTGTTCACAGGGTATAACCACAGATATGTCCAAACAGATAGACAAAACCAACTTAGAACACAGAAGTGCATCATTTCAAGTTGCCACACTTTACAATAGCATGCAAAAATCAGCTTGGCAGAAGACTGGTAATAAAGTAGACAATAGTGTATGGAAGGAGGATCTGAAAATTAAGGTAATTTAAAAAGCCCAAGGTTAAGAAGACGTCAAAGAATAAATGCATCTGCACCAATGTGATTGATTTCCAGGTATTTAATCTAAAGTATCCAACCATTGATTCCCATTATATTAAGGATTCGAACGAGGTAGTTTATATCTCCCTACACAGTGGTCTACAACCATCGATTGCATATCGACTTGGTATCCAAACATTATCTCCTCTGATGAATGTCAACCACCGATCATCCCAGTCCTAAAAAACAGAATTCCTTCCAAGATAGTAGTAGAGGAATTAGCTCCACCAAAACACTTAATACGACCTATGGTTTCGCAATAATGCGATATCCTACATGAACTCAGGAACATTGAAATCAATGAATAACATGGGGGCTTCAGAAATGATCCTGTACTAACCGAAATTTCTATCTTCTATTACATTTTATAAGAATTATATTCACCAACACATTCAGACCTAATCTGTCCATTTTCATTCGACTTTCTCAATGGTGTCTCCTCATCTGGCTTGACCTCCTTGCGAAAGATTCCTCAATGGACTTAGATCGTAAACTCAGCAATCACATGCATGTTAGTCCAGTAGGCCTACTATGAGTATTAGTTATACTATTTGGCTACCCATACTTGGGTTAGTGCAGTAGAGCATGAACCCGTTGCTCGTAGGTTAGAAGTAGAGTGCTTAGACCAATAAACCACAACTCTTTTAGATTACGCAGAACAAAAGTGACACGAAGTTTGTGATAGGTTTGGAGTCTACTGATATGCTCACATAGAATCACATGCAGCAGATTTGTACGTGCTACTTAGTAATCAGAGGCTGAATTCCTTAAACCAGCGAGTGATAATTCCGCATACTATAAAACGGGATAATAAGGATTATTATTTTGAGACGAGTACCACTGCATTTCGTATAGCTCCTATGAAGCTGACTAAACTGGACGTTGAAAGCTGGCCCTCCAGAAAATCGTTGCAGAACACCACTCAGTTTGGTTAACCAAAGGTGAGCGAACAAAAACAACTGCATCAACTCAGCTCCTTGAGGTTTACAAAGTTAAATTGAACTACTCTAAAGGTCTACGTTCCCACCACTTATGCATAGCTGAAGGATTGGTTATACATGAACAAAGGATGAAAATATTCATTTAAAAACGTTTTGTGAAACCCTTTATCCACCCTGGCCTTAAGAATTCATTTTGGTTAGTTTTTCCATCTTATTTGACTTTTTATACTTCATTTTAATTGTCATTTTACACTTCTTTGACAACACTTGACCCTTATTTCACCACTTGAAGTCAATTCGTTCCTTATTCAATAACGCATTTTCTAATCCTTGCACTTAAATAAATTTCACCAACAACAACTGCATCATATGTATATTGACTGAGCAACTTTCTAGTGCATTTATCTGGCATTCTACGGATTATACATAAGACTGTACAGCTTAATAATGAAGTTATTGAAAAGAAATATTTCTTCACTGATAACAATTACGTCCTTCTCATTCATGAATAAATGGGTATATTTCGTCAGTTTAAGAATGGATTTTACAAGATGCTTTCATATGGCAATGCAGGGACAGTCTAACACTGTCTATCTCTCACCACAACTAATTTGATTTATTTCACTTGATAATGAACATGAACTTACAATAGCTCTGAGAGAGGTGATTTTTTTCCGAAAGACCAGGAGATAAATAAAATTCAAATCATCACATATAATGACTATATGAAAATAAAAGCTTCGTTTTTTTATACAAATAATCAAAATAAGAAAGACAAAACAGACGTTACGCGTGTTCAAAAGTAAGAAAACGATTCGACGGTTGAATGATCAGTGCACCTACTATCATATTGATGGACGCAGTTAATTACCTCCTTTTCGACAAACCAACACCAAGACCAATGCCCAGTAACGCAGCTGCTCCCAAAACGGCACCTCCAACAACCGCCAGACCAGTAAGGCCATCTGAAACATTGGAGAATAGTATCAAATAAACTATCCAATCGTGTTAGGATAATGACTTAAACCAAGTCTTTCGGCTGATAGTAGAAAATATGAAACTAGTGTGCACACAGTCTAAACGGTATGTCACCTTGAGACATGTAAATTTATGAACTAGATGAAAAAACGAGTGTGTATTTGACACCGCCAAAACACTTACTCATTTGACAATGACTGACGAAATCAACGTAGAACCTTCCAAACAGCTGCACTGGCTCAAGTTGTTACACTTCACCACCGTACACAAGGAATAGGGGGATAAGAAAAGTTATATCAAAGTAGGGAAAGTTGTGTGGGAAATAAAAAAAATCTGAAGTTAAAGGTTACTACGAACATTTAGGCTTTAGTAGGTGTCAATGAGTGAATAAATATGCGCCATTGCGACCGATTTCCAGTCACGTCATCAAGATTCCTACACCACTGATTCGTTTCGTCTCGAGGACTCCAACCAGACAGTCTACATCTCCCCCACATAGCTCGGACCAGTCAGAGACTTCACTGACTGGTACCCCGTCTTGATTAGGCCAACCACCATGAACCCTCTTCCAACTTAATCCAACTCCTCCTATCATGGGACGTCGGGGTAGGTCGTGGCGACTCCACATCTCTTGGTCAACTTACGTTTACGTTGCTTTCACTCGTAATTTTGGTGAGAGCCAGCTGGAATCAGTCTTCTTGCATCAATCCGTTCGGATGATGTCGCGAACATCCAATGACGTTTATTCACTGGATGTAGGTTACCAATTGTCTTTACTTCTTTTTTAACAACACACCTAATGTCACACCAAGTTTCTTCAACATGAGTATTGCTGTAACGTTCAAATAAATGACTGGCTAACTCTTCCCTAAATGAGTACTTTGCATCCCCATCCACTAATCGAGCACAAATGGGCCTCACTGTCTTCTGTGATCAGTAAAGCACAGATATACATGAGTCCGTGGCAGCTCGTGACAGCAGTCCAAATTGGTGCTCCAGAAAGAGCAGCAATCCCCCACTGATCCTCTCCAATGATGGCTCATAACAATGTACTCTGTCCGTGTCTATCGCTGGTTTGAAGTCGGTGAATACCACGTGAGACACCGACAACGGTGATCGTCTGTTGCAATTTAATAATAGAATCAGAGGAATCCATGACCATATCTCATAATCGAAATTAAAAAATGCTGTTAAGCAGTTGGTACTTATTGCTTTTAATTTCATTAATTACAAATATGGTCATTCCAAGTCCACTGAAATTATTAATTTAAAAGCTTAAACAATCTGCAGAAGAGAATCATTAGATTTCTGTGGTACAGCTAAAATCACTACGAAATAAAATAGCTGTCAGTTTCCGCTAGTTATGGAATACTTAAAGGCATGATTCATACGTGTTGAGGTAACTAAAAAAGTGTCTGCATGACAGTGACGCCCAAGGGACATTTGCCTGAGTCCATTCAAACACGGTCTCCCCAGAAGTTCGAGATTTAAGTCTGAGCATATATCCCCGGTCCGGGTATACCACGTGGTAGAGAGGAGCGTGCTATATCTAAAACCGACCTTTCCTAACCCCGCCCCCTTTCTTAGAGGAAGAGTGGCATTAGGACAGTACTCCTAGACGTCTGCGAGGAACACCTATCTGTTGTCACACTCCCACTCAACCAGCAGTACGACTCCCCCTCGGACGCCCCATCAGAGTGATTTACATAATGACCGTATTTGCTTTCATTTCTACCACTATCTAACCGACCTTTGTGCTATCGCAGGATCTCGAAAGAGCGCGTTCCAAGAGTCTTTTCACATACAAACCTAACCACGACAAAGTAGCAGCTAATGGTTGAGATTTATACGTGGTATTGTAGGACACGTATCATTTAGGATAACTAAATTTGTATGACAGAGTGAAATCAGGCAAATGAGAAATAGTATGTTACAGTATAACCTCGCCTGCTTAACTAGTTCACTAGTTACTAGCCGGTCCTAAGCCGAGGTAAAAAGGGAAGGTTGGGCATACGGCTAGCAACCCTACCCCGGAAAACAAATATAACCGCTAAAGAAACTTCAAAGCACAAACGATATGTAAAAAATAATAACAAAATTATTCCTCGCTGGAATCGGAGAGGCAAAATGACGCCAGTTGGTGAAAGCCTTCTGGAAGCCAATTGGCCGATGTGTCTTCTCTCTCTCTCTCGATGAAAGCGAAAGTAAACGTGGTGACATGGAATGTCCGCACCATGTATGAACCTACCAAGGCTGCCCAGATTGCAAGAGATGAGGAGATATAGCATGAAATTGTTTGGGACCTGCGAAAGTAGATGGAATGGAAGCCGACTCTCCAAACTGTTAACTGGAGAGTCAATAATCTACTCCGATATTGTCACACAGACGACAACCACGAGCACACTGAGCTTTGGAGTGGCTATCATGATGTTTCCAAGAGCATCGAAGACCCGCACGCAGTGGGAACCATCTCCTCCAGGATCATAACAGCAAGATTCAACTCAAAAGGAAGGAAGGTCACAATCATACAATGCTACGCACCTACAAATAATGCAGATCAAGAGAAGAAAGTGGAATTCTACACACAACTGCAATCAGCACTGGACAAGCCCCACCCCAGTTGGCGACACTAAAATTCTAATGGGCGACATGAATGCCAAACTGGGAGCGTACAACAAAGGAAGGGAACTAACCATGGGTCGAGAAGCACTCGGTGAGGTGATGAACGAGAATGGAGAATTGTTTGCAGAATTCTGTGCATTCAACGATTTGATGAATGAAGATGGTGTGTACAAACCCAAGGATATTCACAAAGCGACATGGATTTCACCAGACACCAGGACACCAAAAACCAGATCTACTTCATCTCAATCTTAAGAAAGTGGAGATGCAGCTTACTTGACACAAGATCAAGAAGAGGAGCAGACGTAGGTTCAGACCACTATCCAGTACAAGGAACCTTCCAAATCAAGTTAAAAGCCTTCAAGGAAGCTGGTGATAGACCGCAGTTCAAATACAACACTCGGAAACTGAAGGACGAAACCACAAAGGAAATCTTCACATCAACCATCAAGACAAAACGGGAGATATCGAGGAACATCCCTGAGGAAACCTGTGTTAATGAACATAGGAACTCTTTGAAAGAGATGTGGAAAGAAACCTGCATACCCGTATCAGGAAGGAAGAAGAAAGAAGACAAGGAATGGATCTCGACAGACACATGGAAGCTGATAGAGGAGAGGAGGATGGTGGATCAGAAGATAAACCAGTGCAAGGATGCTCAACGACAAGAGGAACTGAGTACAATCTATAAAACACTGGACAAAGAAGTGAAGAAGAGTGCACGCAAAGATAAAAGACACTTCTACGAAACACTGGCAAGTGAAGCAGAACAGGCTACTGGTAGGAGAGACCTGACAACATTACATCAAATAACCAGGTTACTCTCTAGGAAGAGATCAACACATGGAAACCAATAGATGATGAAGGGAATTTAATTACGAAAGGAGAGAAACAAAGGAAACAATGGGCTGACCACTTCAAGAAGCTCTTGAATCGACCACCACCTGCACTTCGTCCAGAAATACCACCTACAGCCGCTGCACTACAAGCGAACACAAATCCTCCAACAAAAGTGGAAGTCCTGAACGCCATAAAGCTACTGAAATGCGGGAAAGCAGAAGGACCAGATGGAATCTCGCCAGAAGCACTGAGAGCAGACGCAGGGACAACAGCGGACATGCTGACACCACTACTCCAGAAGGTCTGGAAGGAAGGGAAGGTACCTGCCCATTGATTGGAAGAAGGGCTACCTTGCCAAACTCCCGAAGAAGGGAGACCTAAGTTTTCGCAAGAACTGGCGCGGAATCATGCTCCTGTCCACCCCAAGCAAAATATTATGCCGCATCATTCTGGAGAGACTAAAGGATGCGCTGGATTCAAAACTACGACCGGAACAGGCTGGCTGGCTGGATTCAGGAAGAACAAATCATATGTGGATCAAATTGCAACGCTACGCTACGCATCATCATAGAACAGAGTATAGAATGGCAGTCAACCCTCTACATTAACTTCATCGACTTTGAATAGGCCTTTGTCAGCGTCGACCGACAAGTAATTTGACAACTTCTGCAACACTACGGTTTTGGTGCCACAAACCTTTATCAGCCTCATTCAACAACTATATGAAGACGCCACATGCCAAGTAATTCACAATGGGAAGCTGTGATGCTTTTGAAGTGAAGACAGAAGTGAAACAAGGCTGTCTACTATCACCGATGATCTTCCTGATTGTGGTGGACTCGACTAGATCATGCAACAAACAGCGAGGAGCTGTGAGAAGAGGGGGATGAGCTGGACTGCGGATAAGAACCCAGGAGACTTGGATTTCTCCGATTTCGACCTACAGGCGAAAACTAACAAGTTGACATAAGAGGCAGCAAAGATAGGGCTTCAAGTGAACGTAGAGAAAACAGAGGTGATGAAGATACCCAACTAACAACAACAACAAGCTCCAATCATCATCAATGGGAGAAACTTAAAGGAAGTAGCCTTTCACCTACCTAGGCAGCACTGTCTCAACTACAGGCGGCATAGACGAGGACGTCAAAGCAGCCAGGATCGGAAAAGCAGGACAGGCGTTCATTAGCCTGAAACCAGTGTGGAGATCTTCTGCACTCAGCATAAAGCCTGAACAAGATCCGAATTTTCAAAACCAATGTCAAATCAGTGGTTCTGTATGGCTCAGAGACTTGGCGCGTTACGAAAGGGATTTCCAACAAACTACAGACATTCATCAACAACTGCCTACGCTGACTCGATACTAAAGATCAGTTGAGATAGCCAGAAAGAATAAACAACAAGGAACTCTGGCTGGGTAACGAACCGACCAAGAACCTATCACCCAACAAATATGCAGAAGGAAGTGGAGATGGATTGGAGTGGGCATATACTGAGAAGGCCGACTGGGGACATCACGCGTCGGGCCCTCTAGTGGAATCCCCATGGGAAGCGACGAGTTGGGTGTCTGAGGTGAGGGTGACATGGAGGAGATCGTGCGAGGAGGAAATGAGAGCTTGTGGGCTGTCGTGGAGCCAGGTTCAAAAGATTTCAGAGAACAGAGTGCACTGGAGACGTGCTACTGAAGCCCTATGTTTCATTGGGAACCGAAGAGACATAACAATAATAATAATAATGTTAGGGTATCGTAATCTAAATAACGATATGAGTGTTGCCATCCCTTATCTACTTACTCCTTATAGGACTCAATGTGGGAAGTCATGATGGGTTCAAAAGCCATGGTCGAATAAACTACGAGTGGAACTCAGATTCTCTCACAGGGTAGTCAACATCTAGGGCATATTACCAGAAATTCGGATAGGTGCTCCTACGGCCAACGTTCACACAGAGAAACTGGATCTTTACGGAGATCTATACTACCAGGATCAAAACAGGTTACTCAGTCTAACCCTAAACCTGAAGGAGCAGAAGCTGGTATGAAGATTCGTGATTCGCAGAATGCCATCTCATAAGTCGAAGTACTTCATAAAAAACACATACAAGCTACGCTGGCCTTTCACATATTTCAAATGAACAGGAATCGTATGCGATGCTAAGCTGTGTACTTAAGTATCCCATGCAGGAACAACAATCTCAAATGCATAAGACTACGATAACAGCATAAAAACGTACGAAAATCAGGAGTATGGATGAAAAAGTGCAAACACGTTTGAAATTTGTAAAATGAGTAGAAAACCAGTTTACAGCCTCCATCGTTATAAGAATATAATCAATGTGAAAGCAGTGAAAATGTTTACCTTTTCTGGCACGGCTTTGAATTTCCTCACGCAAATCTTTAACCTGTTGATTTAACGGCTGTATTTGTAGGATATTATCGCAACAGCTAGTTGCATTTTCATAATCCTAGGGAAATTTGAAAGGCAAAGTTAAGTTACCGATAGTTTTACGTACGCTATAGCCATATAGTACAAGCAGTCACGACGAAGGCCTTCATCCTTGGTACTTTTAAATAACTCTGGAAATAATACAATCATTTTGAGACCAACCTTCTAGTAGTTTGATGGAGAGATTTAATGCTTCTTTTTTAGTTGTACGAAGAAGATCAATGGCATAGTGAAACTGCACGCCATCATCCATCAAATTATTTTGCTGCATACGATTGAATTCATTTCTTGATGCCTATCAAATAGTTAGGAAATAAGTTTGAAGTTACATGGTACCTGAATGGAACTAATGGGATCATTTTTATCAAGTAAGTCCATGTGTAATCCACACTTCAATAACACCGCTTTCGGAAAACGGAATCCTTGCACAAATCTTCAGATTAACATTAAGATAAGATCCACGATCTAATGTTATTTTACAAGCTAGTGCAAAACCAAATGATTTCTTTGCGCTCACCTCTAGGTCTTGCGGAACGGTCACAGGGCTTTGGTGGATTCAGAGGCAGAGGGTCTGGCCACCAGCCTGTAGTAGCTCTAGTTAGCCCGACGGGCAGTCGGGTGTTGATTGACTTCGTAGGGGTTGTGTGGTTTTTCCAAGGACTTTGGTACAGAAGGATACCTCAAGTGTCGTACGACCAGGCAGTGGGTCGGAGTAGTTGTCAAAAAAAGACAATGTAGCGTCACACTTCTCCAGAATCAGTAGCCTAGGGTTTGACGAGATTCAGCATTGATGCTGACCTTCGTAGTTTAACGGGACTCGCCGAGATGAAGGCACCCGACCAAGCATCCTCGCCATTTGGTACGCTGCTGTGTTACGTTGCACTGCCTGTAATCGACCCTCAAGCCAGTCAGTTGGAACGTATCGGTATCTTGGCATGACCTCGCAAGTAAACTATTCCATCAGACCACGCTATCGTGTTCTTTCTTGTTCTCGTATTCGTGGGCATATAACAAGTCAGAATAATTGGTGATTGGCCTCTGCATCTGTAGCATCAGGACAATTCCCAAAACAGTAAAGTCTCCAGAGGAACCAAAGGAAAGGAATTACAAAGAAAAGGAAATAAAACCATTATAAGGTAAAAGGAAGCGGAACGGGACAAGAAACCTAGGTAGATTCGTGGGAGAAAAGTGACACGGAGAGCTTTTTTGAATAGTTTGGGAACGTAAAGTCACCAGGAAGAGAAGGAACAAATAACATCATAGGACGGCTTATGGGAATAGAAGTAGTAATGCTTTTAGTAGAAGGTGGCAACTGGAGGAAATGTCTGCAGAGAAGCATAAGGTTGGGCCAGGTTCGCGATGATAGCGGCGTTACAAAAGATTCGATGATGGGTTGGCTGTGCTGAGTTGTGCCGAATTAGTGGGTTGTATCAACCTAGTCCATATCCCAGACGAATGAATGCAAACCATGCTTCGCTGCGTAACTGTCCAAACTCTTCTTGAAGCCGTCAGCAGACGGGGAAGCGGCAATATTGGCAGGCAATGTTGTCCAGTGGCCGCGTACTTGCACAGAGTAGAAGTGTGAATGCACACCAGTTTTCGCCCTTCGGTGGACGATTCTCCTTGGGTCACTGCGAGGACTGCCACTGTGGTCGTTCGGTAGGATTCCACTGTTCCGATGACTTGGATTAATTAGGATCTTATAAGGCGCTATCACATCACCACGTAGTCTACAGTAGCTAAGAGAGTAGAGTCTTAGGTCTTTCAGCCCGTTCTAATGCGGTTTTTACCCCATTCCTACGACACCCTTTGTTGCTCGCCTCTGGACTTCCTCTAGGAGGTTCATATCGCTCTTCAGGAGTGGTGGTCAAATGAGGTCGTGGACCATTAAGTGAGGTCGTATGTAGTTCTTGCATAGCTTCAGGAAGAGTTCCAGAGTGGGGCATCTAGTTGTTTGCTCACAAAGCACAGTACCGTGAAATCTCTTCATGCATCACCTGGATACTTGGAGCCAGTGTCTAGCTTTTCCGTGGGTATTAGTCCCAGGTCTTTCTGCGTGGTGTGAAAATCCATGTTTCACAGAGAGAGTAGGGTACTTTCTGAGAGTCAGGGGTGCGGAAAAACATGGTTTTACACTTATCCAGATTAAATGCTAGTTCCTTATTATTCACCCACTCTGCAAGCAATCTGAGATCACTTTGCAATGCACTTGGCTCTCCTCTCCATCGTCAGCGCAAAGTAGAATTGGGGAGTTGAGATTAAGTGGGAGGTTGTTCGCAAATAGAAGGAACGGCAGTGGACCCAGAATCGGTTCTTGTGATGCACCAGATGGTGACGTATTCCAAGTCGAGCAAACCCCTGTTGGCTTTGGTGCAGAATTGTCTGCCGTCTAAGTGACCCGTAGTTAGGACAGCACTGGATAATGGATACTCAACTTTGATCTTTTGCGAGTAAGATTGGTGTGCAGAACTGTGTCAGAGACCTTAGCAAACTCTAGGAAAATAACATGAACAGAAACTTGGATGTCTCAGTATGTCGTTCACATATCACTGGCCTCCAGAATGTCCGAAGTGCAGGACCCGCCCTTTCTGAAACCATGTTGAGCACCACTTGGCGCTCCCCTCTTTTAAAATACTCCCTGACATGTTCATTACTCTTGCTATGACTGGTAGAAAAGCTATGGGTTGAAAGTATTTCAGGTCCTGCCTGTCTCCTCCTTTGAAGATGGTAGGCAGAATAGCACATTTCCACTCTCATGGAAGTATGTGATTGCCCAAGGATTGTTGAAACAGGTTACAGGGCAGACCACATAAGGCCCCCGAACATTGTTTCAACACAGCTGTCCAGATATCATCGCATCCCGGTGATTTCCCTGCTCGGAGCTTTGGTAGCCTCTCGAGGACCACAGTAGGAAACACCTTTATCCCAGGCAACTCAACTGCACTTGGTAGTACTGGATGTTGCTCGGCCAGTTGGCAATTTCGGTTGGATGGTGGCATGTTCAGTTGTGTATCGAAGACGACGCTAAGATTTCGGCAGTTTCTAGTCCTGCAAGGTTCCCTTCGTTCCGGCCTTTCGGAAGGCAAGCTAGTGGGTTTTCCGCCTGCATCTGTGAATCCTTTCTGGCGAATATCAATGTTCGCTCAATATTCTTCTGCATCCAATATTTAATATCTCTTTGTCTCATCTGGAAAACGAACATTTTTTGAACACTCGCTTGTAGGTTTCCACGCAAGGCTATTTTTACCTCACTTCACCCCATCGATTGTCTGGAAAGTTTTTGTGCTTTATTGCATATGATCTCAAGGCATGTGATTTCTTGTGGGTCGTCACTTTTCGTAAATATAAAAGTAAAACTTGGGTACTGTGGTAGATTGTAATTCCATCCCAGTCTGTTTATTAGAAACATCATACAGCGAAACAGCAGCATTTACTAGATAACGTTTCGGACACAATTTGCTGTCCATATTCACATCAGCACGTGACTCCACAACTTCGAGACGGTCTTCATATATTCCTAATATTCTGTCCTTCTCTGTGATGACAAGGGTAATAGAATTTTCCGTATATCTGGGATAGGTGCAGCACCATTTCGATTGTATGAATTTGGTGTTGATTCGATGAACAACGATTCGGTCATCAATCTCTCCTCCCACCCAACTAAGTTAGATTTTAACACTGTAGCTCTATCTCACCCCACTGTGTGATTGTGTCATCGCATGCAGAGCTATAGCCGAGCTTTCCTCCAGATTTCTCATCTTATCAGGATCCCGTGATCTTGATTTAGCTAAGATTTTGTGCTCCGTTATTCCTACTGACCCTGCCTGACTGCTATGCGCCTAACCCCACAATTGTTGCAAAAGATCTAGTAAACCAGAATAATTTACCGAACCGTATCGATTATTATTATTATTGTTATGTCTCTTCGGTTCCCAATGAAACATAGGGCTTCAGTAGCACGTCTCCAGTGCACTCTGTTCTCTGAAATCTTTTGAACCTGGCTCCACGACAGCCCACAAGCTCTCATTTCCTCCTCGCACGATCTCCTCCATGTCACCCTCACCTCAGACACCCAACTCGTCGCTTCCCATGGGGATTCCACTAGAGGGCCCGACGCGTGATGTCCCCAGTCGGCCTTCTCAGTATATGCCCACTCCAATCCATCTCCACTTCCTTCTGCATATTTGTTGGGTGATAGGTTCTTGGTCGGTTCGTTACCCAGCCAGAGTTCCTTGTTGTTTATTCTTTCTGGCTATCTCAACTGATCTTTAGTATCGAGTCAGCGTAGGCAGTTGTTGATGAATGTCTGTAGTTTGTTGGAAATCCCTTTCGTAACGCGCCAAGTCTCTGAGCCATACAGAACCACTGATTTGACATTGGTTTTGAAAATTCGGATCTTGTTCAGGCTTTATGCTGAGTGCAGAAGATCTCCACACTGGTTTCAGGCTAATGAACGCCTGTCCTGCTTTTCCGATCCTGGCTGCTTTGACGTCCTCGTCTATGCCGCCTGTAGTTGAGACAGTGCTGCCTAGGTAGGTGAAAGGCTACTTCCTTTAAGTTTCTCCCATTGATGATGATTGGAGCTTGTTGTTGTTGTTAGTTGGGTATCTTCATCACCTCTGTTTTCTCTACGTTCACTTGAAGCCCTATCTTTGCTGCCTCTTATGTCAACTTGTTAGTTTTCGCCTGTAGGTCGAAATCGGAGAAATCCAAGTCTCCTGGGTTCTTATCCGCAGTCCAGCTCATCCCCCTCTTCTCACAGCTCCTCGCTGTTTGTTGCATGATCTAGTCGAGTCCACCACAATCAGGAAGATCATCGGTGATAGTAGACAGCCTTGTTTCACTTCTGTCTTCACTTCAAAAGCATCACAGCTTCCCATTGTGAATTACTTGGCATGTGGCGTCTTCATATAGTTGTTGAATGAGGCTGATAAAGGTTTGTGGCACCAAAACCGTAGTGTTGCAGAAGTTGTCAAATTACTTGTCGGTCGACGCTGACAAAGGCCTATTCAAAGTCGATGAAGTTAATGTAGAGGGTTGACTGCCATTCTATACTCTGTTCTATGATGATGCGTAGCGTAGCGTTGCAATTTGATCCACATATGATTTGTTCTTCCTGAATCCAGCCAGCCAGCCTGTTCCGGTCGTAGTTTTGAATCCAGCGCATCCTTTAGTCTCTCCAGAATGATGCGGCACAATATTTTGCTTGGGGTGGACAGGAGCATGATTCCGCGCCAGTTCTTGCGAAAACTTAGGTCTCCCTTCTTCGGGAGTTTGGCAAGGTAGCCCTTCTTCCAATCAATGGGCAGGTACCTTCCCTTCCTTCCAGACCTTCTGGAGTAGTGGTGTCAGCATGTCCGCTGTTGTCCCTGCGTCTGCTCTCAGTGCTTCTGGCGAGATTCCATCTGGTCCTTCTGCTTTCCCGCATTTCAGTAGCTTTATGGCGTTCAGGACTTCCACTTTTGTTGGAGGATTTGTGTTCGCTTGTAGTGCAGCGGCTGTAGGTGGTATTTCTGGACGAAGTGCAGGTGGTGGTCGATTCAAGAGCTTCTTGAAGTGGGTCAGCCCATTGTTTCCTTTGTTTCTCTCCTTTCGTAATTAAATTCCCTTCATCATCTATTGGTTTCCATGTGTTGATCTCTTCCTAGAGAGTAACCTGGTTATTTGATGTAATGTTGTCAGGTCTCTCCTACCAGTAGCCTGTTCTGCTTCACTTGCCAGTGTTTCGTAGAAGTGTCTTTTATCTTTGCGTGCACTCTTCTTCACTTCTTTGTCCAGTGTTTTATAGATTGTACTCAGTTCCTCTTGTCGTTGAGCATCCTTGCACTGGTTTATCTTCTGATCCACCATCCTCCTCTCCTCTATCAGCTTCCATGTGTCTGTCGAGATCCATTCCTTGTCTTCTTTCTTCTTCCTTCCTGATACGGGTATGCAGGTTTCTTTCCACATCTCTTTCAAAGAGTTCCTATGTTCATTAACACAGGTTTCCTCAGGGATGTTCCTCGATATCTCCCGTTTTGTCTTGATGGTTGATGTGAAGATTTCCTTTGTGGTTTCGTCCTTCAGTTTCCGAGTGTTGTATTTGAACTGCGGTCTATCACCAGCTTCCTTGAAGGCTTTTAACTTGATTTGGAAGGTTCCTTGTACTGGATAGTGGTCTGAACCTACGTCTGCTCCTCTTCTTGATCTTGTGTCAAGTAAGCTGCATCTCCACTTTCTTAAGATTGAGATGAAGTAGATCTGGTTTTTGGTGTCCTGGTGTCTGGTGAAATCCATGTCGCTTTGTGAATATCCTTGGGTTTGTACACACCATCTTCATTCATCAAATCGTTGAATGCACAGAATTCTGCAAACAATTCTCCATTCTCGTTCATCACCTCACCGAGTGCTTCTCGACCCATGGTTAGTTCCCTTCCTTTGTTGTACGCTCCCAGTTTGGCATTCATGTCGCCCATTAGAATTTTAGTGTCGCCAACTGGGGTGGGGCTTGTCCAGTGCTGATTGCAGTTGTGTGTAGAATTCCACTTTCTTCTCTTGATCTGCATTATTTGTAGGTGCGTAGCATTGTATGATTGTGACCTTCCTTCCTTTTGAGTTGAATCTTGCTGTTATGATCCTGGAGGAGATGGTTCCCACTGCGTGCGGGTCTTCGATGCTCTTGGAAACATCATGATAGCCACTCCAAAGCTCAGTGTGCTCGTGGTTGTCGTCTGTGTGACAATATCGGAGTAGATTATTGACTCTCCAGTTAACAGTTTGGAGAGTCGGCTTCCATTCCATCTACTTTCGCAGGTCCCAAACAATTTCATGCTATATCTCCTCATCTCTTGCAATCTGGGCAGCCTTGGTAGGTTCATACATGGTGCGGACATTCCATGTCACCACGTTTACTTTCGCTTTCATCGAGAGAGAGAGAGAAGACACATCGGCCAATTGGCTTCCAGAAGGCTTTCACCAACTGGCGTCATTTTGCCTCTCCGATTCCAGCGAGGAATAATTTTGTTATTATTTTTTACATATCGTTTGTGCTTTGAAGTTTCTTTAGCGGTTATATTTGTTTTCCGGGGTAGGGTTGCTAGCCGTATGCCCAACCTTCCCTTTTTACCTCGGCTTAGGACCGGCTAGTAACTAGTGAACTAGTTAAGCAGGCGAGGTTTTACTGTATCTATAGGAACTTTTAAGACCCAAAGCTTTTTTCGAAGCTAGTTTGTTGGTTTGAATGCCAGTTTAATCGTAGCCTTATTGATAATTCCTCCTAATTCTTCTGAGGTACCTTCCTTTTATAGTGACACAACATGGGCCTCGTATTCTCGCTTAACCCTTTCAGCGTTATAACTGTTAGCAGTGGAATTATTAATAGTAGCACCTGTGTTACTACTACTACCACTGCTAAAATTTTTCTTTCCATTTCTTATGAATTTATTGATGATTTTTGGTGGGTGATTATTGAGACATAGGGTATTCTTGGTGTGTCTGATTGCTTGTTGAGGATTTTCTTATCTAATGGTGGACTTTTGCGCTTCATCAGTTAGGCATTTGACTTGGCATACTTTAACTATAATGGGGTGGGAGTATTCAAAGTATTAGTAGCGGTTCGAACAGGCAGGTTTTTTATGAACGCTAGTCTCTAGATTTCCTTCTTGTGTTCGTTTGATCTTGCAATCCACCATCGCTAGCTCACCCTCTTCAGTTTCATACTAAGGGTACGATTGTGCCCAGTATCTAGTTTTTATGTTTCAAAACAAAATATGTGAACGGGCCGAAGGTATTGCCATGGGATCACCAATATCCCCTACCGCTGCAGACATATTTATGGGTAGTTGGGAACAGATGACCCTTCAAACATTTAGTCCTACTTCAAAGACATGGCTGCAATATGCATACGATACGTTTACAGTACTGACATCGGAATACATCAACAGGATCTTGGTACATATAAATTCAGTAGTGAATGCAATCCAATTTACCTGTGACTTAGAAGTTGATATAAATTAGGTATCAGGTAAAAGCGGCTAATATGTGATGGGAGAGAGAAGAAAGAACCTTCATATAGTGACAACGAGTGTTACTGGATACTCACAATATTTCGTGAGTGCAATAATGGGTTGGCGGGATTACGGACTCCTAGAATGAGCCAGTTATAAATTATGTGTGCACACGTGCTCATCTAAAAATCTTCCGGGTGACTCCACTCTAAGATCTTTTAGTATTTCTCACTGTCAGGCATTCTATGGTTAACAAGCCGTCGATGAAAAGGGGTTGCCCGTGATCCTGATATTAGTTCTGTGACGAGCTACTCTTCGTGAGCTCAAGAATGACAGACTATTCTTGGCTGGTAGCAACCGTCTTTTAGCATGGCTTACCTGATGCATAGACCTAGGTCTCCTTTCGGTACGGCATTTGATATTTTCAAGTGTGTACGGCCTAAGAGTTTATTCTTTCTTCATGTCTGTTTAAACCCTTTCTTAATGTACCTACATTATTAACTTCAATAATCTGTTCGTTTTCGATCATACGCACAGCCATTGCTGATTGCTGGCCAAAATTCTCAGTTCACCTTGGTTCTTCCGGGAGGACCATGGCAACTGTGGTCCGCACCTCTATAATCTTAGTTCGGTGTTGTTATGGGTTAGGAGATCAGATAATATCCATATCAGATGGTGGTGAATCATATGCGTCAACGTGCTTATCTGACAACTCTTTTAATGATTCCGTCACGATGGCCACCGTTATTTGCCGCAACAGGAAAACGGTGAAAATAGAAATGTACCTCCTTAATCTTAGGTGCATTTCCGTTGCCGGCAGCTAGCCGTACCTGTTGTATGAGACCTAATGAAAGTGCCTGGCTTCCGAAATATAGTTAGGTGCAGTGGTGTAAGAATCCTACACTGATAGGTTGATTCCCGAGTGCTGAGACCGATAAAACACAATTCTACAGATTCCGTAGAATGACATTAAGTAGCGAGATACAACTTAAGTGAGAAGTTGACTGTTACCCCGGCACTAGCATTTCGCTGTCGTGTCCTTGTTAGGTTCCCAAGGGTCCGCCTGTTCCGGCTTTCCTGCGACTGATTTTGAAACACATCATCGGGTGAATGGTTTAGTGCGTCGTTGTCAGGTTGAAGAAGTCAAGTTGCAGGGGGTGCACAGAGCGAGGTTAGCCTCCTGACATGAAGCCCAATTTCATAGTCCTTCGCTCTGCCTTTTCCGAAACTTTTGAGGCCCAGGTAAGTGATGAGGTGTAATCATACGAACAAGCTCGTGCTGCGGTTTGGCGGGCAGTTTGAAGTCCACGAAGAAGATTTCAGAGGCGAAAGGCCTGAGCGCCTCTGAAAGATGACTGTAACGGCGTTTGTCTCTGAGGTCGCCCCGCTATATTTCAGGCCGATTTTGAGTAGAATGAACAAATCGAGGTCCAATTCTTGTTCCTTGGTCGCCCATTCCGCCGACTTCAGGATTTAGAAGGCACTTCACCTCATATTCTCCCAGGTCATCACTTAATTTTTCCCCGCAGTCCGAAGTTCAGGATATGAAAGATTATCTTGGTGTCCTTCTGGATAATCACTCCCACCCACTACCCTCCGTATTTTAGTGTCACCTGCGGGTAAAGGGATAGGGAAGTTGATCGTTGAAAGCAATCACTCATGGAGAAAAGAAACAAAAGTAGATCGATCATTAATTTTACAGAAACCTAGTACTTGCTGGTCCTCCATGGCGGCCATGACTGGCTACAGCCGCTAGTTGGCAGCATCCTTTCCGTCACCCTTGTATATTAGTAACAAGAAGGTTCACTTTCACTCTTTCAGTACTTGGTTCCTATGTATCGAATTCGTGAATCGACTGCAAAGCGGGAGGCTTCGTCCTTTGGAGCAGCTCTCTAGCATCATCGGTCTCGACTTGTCGCATCGGCAAAACATATCTGTTTCATTAGGCAGATTGTAGTCGTTTAAGTCACAGCGGGCTTGAAGTCAAATAATTCCGACGTTCCGCACGGAAGTCTGATCCCAACCTTTTAACGGAAAAAATACGCAAATAAAATCTACATCTGGTGTCAGCCCATTGGTCAGCGCCCAGCGTTTCCCATACTATACGGTCAAATCTAAGTCATAGTTTGTATAAAATGTCCGTTTCAGTTTCAGTATTTTCGAAGACAACTAAGCACGTTTTGACATTGCGCAAAGTCCGACTACAGCTGCCGATTGCTGAGAGGCGCATTCAAACAGATCTATTGCTTCTAGGTGCCTGAGTCGGAAAAGTGAAGACATTTGGCTGTCAGCCATAATGTTCATTAAGATTATGAATCCTTGTCGTTGGATGGTATTAACATGCATGAATTATACGGTCCTGGAATCATCAACGAAGTACAATAAGCAAACAATTCGTGCATACATTCACTCATAAACTTTTCATCATTACCACAAGCAAAAAGCACCAACTATTACCATGGAGGTACTAGCTTCAAGCTTTATTTTTCTTCAGGTAATACATGTAAGGCCTAGATACAAACCCGGCTTTTTTGTTAAGGCGAAGACAATGGGTTGTGTTTGAGATTACCTCCCATGAAGATACATGTAATTTATGTGTAAACTTATTCATACCTGTAAAAACTGTGTGTGCGTGTATATTCAGGAATAGATGTTATTAATATTATTATTGTACACGACGAGGCTTGCATTACTTCTCCTTGGTGTTCAGTGGTGTGCCATATTGCCATTCCGACAGCCCGGCTATTTTCCTGGTGTAATCGGGCTTATCTTGTGGTTGACAATGTTATTTTCGGTCGAACCCCTGTCATTAGTTAGTATTATTTTTCCGGGTAATCTCTAAGTCTTCCTATCAGGTCACTTGCATATCGTCAGCTACTGTTGCGGAACCCCCTGTGGATGGGAGGTGCCTTGCTTCTAATACATTTGAACTGATGGCCTCTGCGATCATGCTTGCGATCCGTGAACGCTACTAATCTAAGTCGGGTGACTCTCAGGCTTGGTAGCATCACGCAGTGGGTAGGAAATACCTAATCTCTCCAACTTCGGCCCTGCCACAGCAAGGAAAGGTGGTCAGGAAATCAACCAGAACTTTATTTGCTGTTTTCGCGGTAAAAGTAATGATTTTATACCCGCTGTGAAAGCCACATGCACGTAATTCCATCGGGGTCCCATCATTCGTCACCAAGTAGCGCAACATAGATGCTTATCCACCCGGAACCCGGCAGGAGACATCCCTAACCTTCCAAAATAGGTACGCCGATGAATATGTTCTGCGTAGTTTTTAGTTAAGTGGCCTACCTTCGTGTTTGTGGTTGGTTGCTAAATCAAGTGAAGTTGTGCTATAACACTAATTACTTTCGGAGTAAAATATCACATGAAGGATTCT